AAGGGAGTCTGGGCTAAATGGTCCAAAAAGGTTTCAAAAAGTGCTCAGCAATTTTTAGCTGCTGTATTTAATGGCCCATGGAGATTCGAGGGTTTTTTTCCTTCCTGAAAATAAGGGTCACAGATGTTTGCTGGAGTCCACTGGTCACTTGGTCTGGGCAATTTTGTGAGTAAAGGAGAATTAACCCACTGGAGCTGTAACCCAGCGTGTGTCCCCCTGGGCAGATGTCCTGGGATCATACCAGAGCTGTCAGCTTTCACACTGACCTTGTGTTTGAGATTTGAATCTTGACCTTTTTCATGCCAGGGAAGAGTTTTACTTCAAACTAAGTTGTCTGTTGGTAAAAAGCATCTCTGCAGACGGCAGAATGGGTCTGTGAATTAAACCCCAAGTTCACTTAAAAAGCACTTATGTGTATTTGTGGATGAAACAGTAGGTAGCACCAAAAGCAATGGTAGGTGCTCACCTGTAACCCAACACAGCATGTGTGGTTTTAATCTACTGCAAGCTGTGAGGCTGCAAACACCCCAGATTTGTTCCTTCATGGGTGACAGTCTGTGACAGCCATGGGCACTGGCTGCCTTTGGGCACCAGGGCTTGGATGGAAGTGGAGCCTGCCCTGGAGATGGTCCAATTCTTGTCCCAGTTAGATGATGTTGGAGAGCAATGAAAATGGCAGAGGAATGATGGGTTACCACGTCTCTGAGGTGAAGGAAGGACTGAGCATGGCAGAGGGCAGCATTAGGGTATGATGGAGAGGTTGAGTGTCCAGGGCATGTGCAAAGGGACACTGAGGTAGGCTGGACTATGGAAATGCTGTGATTCGAGCAATTGCACTGCTGGAAGCATCAGCTGTTGGGCAAAACAAGAAAACCTACAGAATCTGCAAGAAAATGTAGTGATGGTGGCACAGAGCCTGCATTTAGTCACAGAATGGTTGTGGTGTGGGAGGTGACACCTCTGCTGTGGTCCCAGTGGAGATGTACAGGGATCATGCTCATGATAGCTGGATCTCTGCCCACTGGGAGACCTGCACGGTGTTGTATTTTCTTCTTGCATTGTGCTTGCTGTAGGCAGGTCAACACTGAAGGACACTGACGGTCATTGCTGGGCTGGGACCCACCAATTCATGTCACTTGGGCCATTGAGCAGCTATCAGGTGACACTGTTGGTTTTTTAATTATTTTTTGATCAACTGAAATCCCATCTGAAGGGAGGTTTGGTCCAGCACCATGGTGACAGAAAGCCCTTGAGCTCATTGCTTTACTCTTTAAGCACTATCCAGGGCCCAGGAAACCAGTTTTATAACACTCCAACTCCATGAAGTTTTGCTGCCCTCAAACCTGGGAGGATAAATGCTGTATCTGAAAAGCCAGCCCACCATGCACTGTGTATCAAGCCTAGGTTATTTAAGCAGAATCTATGTTTTCTCTGACAAGACAACAGTTGCAAGCTCACATGAGTTGTGCTTGTCAGTTCAGCTCTTTGGACAAAAATAGAGGTAAGGCATTAAAAAAAAAACTGGAACATTTTTGTGTGTATGTGTTAAACCTCAACTGTTAATTCTGATGAAGGATCAGACTGTGAGCAGATATCAGATCCCTGGTGAGAATCAAATTCTGGAGCCCAGAATTTTACTGCAAAGTTTATACAGTGGGGATTCCTCTAATTACTTTCAGTGGAAATTTACCTGACAGAGCTTTCCCAGGTAGTGCAAGGCATATGCGGGAGAGCCGCTCAGCTGTTGACAGAGCCTTTGATTTTGTGCCAGGTTGCAAATTAAGTCTTTTGCCAAGGTACCCGAACACTTGCTCGTCAATTGCTTATCGCTTATTCATATCGCACATCGAGCGCAGCTCGTTTCATCTGCTCAGGAAGGCAGCACATGTTGACAAAAGTCTTGTCCAAAGTTGCTGCATTTTCCTTCCTCTCTCTGTTTGGTCAAGTAAACAAGACTATTCTCTCTGGAAAGCCACCTTGAATGTCTGTGCAAGTTGGAATTCTCTAATGAGCAAAGGAAAAACCCTGGTGTGTGTCAGTGACACGTGGTGTGCAGAGCTATTTTGACACATGGGTGAGTTTTGTCCTCCATCACTGCTGTGTGAGGTGTTACTATCAAAATCCTTCTGGATTGACTTGACAGAGCCCTGGAAATCTGTTGTGGAGTGGCCAGTGTTGACTTACTGGTTTGGGTTGTGACTATCAATTATTTGGATGGAGGTAGCTGGAGCCTCACCCTGGGCTGGCACAGGCAGGGCTGTGGGGATGTTGTATTTCAGCAGCAACATCCTTCCAGAGTTTGTTTGACAGAGGATGTTGTTCTCCCTGGGCCAGCATGATGCTAGCAATGAGTGACAGAGATAGGACACATCCCATGAACATAGTGGGTAGGGGTATTTATCTATGTCCATGCTGGGTGCCTGACGTACAGTCCCCAGGGAATGTAGTCCCACATCTACAAATAAATGAAGTCTTGGTGCACAGTCCTGGCTGTGGCAAAACCTGAGCCCAGGAATCTTGACACTGCAGGCAGAGCAAGGCAGAGGCTGTTTGCCTTGGGGGGTGGCTGAGGAAGAGGAGGGGGCAGTAGAAGCATCTTGCTGAGGTGAGTAAGGAGTTGAATTCTGTTTGGTTTTATTAAAAAAACCAAAACACCAAAAAACCCCTCAACAAACAAAACAAAACAAAAAAACCCCACAAAACCCAAACCCAACTCTAATTCAGCAACTTTCCCTAACGAACTGCCCATCAGGACCTGACTGTCTCCCTGCGACCTGTTTGTCTCAGTGAGCTGGAGGGCCCAGGAGACCACAGGCCAGGTCAGTCCTCCAGAACGAGACACAGAACAGGAGAGATCACCCGGTGTGGGAGAACTTGTAAATCACCCGGTTAGCTTAATAGCATGAGCCATTATTCTAAAGCAGTGGGGCTGAAACCTAAATCCAAATGAAAATATAGTCAATTTGTCTATACTTTACTGACTGAACAGCTATGTAATGTCATGCAGCCCTGGCAATGCAGGGAGCAAGCAGAGGCAATTAGTGGGGAGAGCAAAGCTCCTTTGTTTTCTTCTCTCCCACTTCCTCTGAAAGCTCCAGCATGGTGCCAGGAAATAGTCTTGCAGGGAAAGTCCAGTTAAGATCCAGTAGTGGCATCAACGCCCAGTTTATCCTTGTTGATTTTTGAGCCTGAAGGAACAAAATTGCATCTTCCTGCTGCCCTCTGCTTCGAGTTACAACCAGCTTGCTAGGTGAGTGCTCTGCACTGCTCTCTCCAGGCCCAGAACAAGCCAGACTGAAAGGCATCCCACCAGGTGACAGTGGGTGACTGAGTGATAAGAAGGATGAGTGGCTTGAGGACATGTCACATCTCTGCACCTCACACCAGCCTCAGGTCACATGGAAAAATTGTTTGACGTGGGGCTGTGGTCAGGGCAATGGAGTCTGTGAATGTTCTTGCCCAGAGTTTGAAGTTGTTCCCAGGTCATGAACATCATCTGTAATGGCCGGAGCAGGACAATGTCACTGAAGGCTGGTAGGAAATAACATGTAGATGGGAGTGTGCTAACAAGCTTTCTGTAAAGTGTTATTTTTGTGTTTGCTTTTCCTACTACTTTTTGTGCAATAGGATGAGGGCATTATATGGATTATTGGTAAACTGCCTTCAGTGGTCAGTGCTAATGGCTGGCCTCCCCAGGACACTGAGTGTTAAAAAAGCCATAAAGTAGTTGTTCACCACCATGGAAGAGCCTGAGAAACATTCCACAAGGACAGAAACGCTGCAAGAACAAGCTCCCCCAGCTCTTTGGAGCACTGCTCTCTATTGTCCCCCTTGTAAAGGAGGGATTGATAGTGACTCCTGGAGTCCCGGGGTTTGGTTGAAGGGTTAGACCAGTTTGTCTTTCAAGACCATTCCACCACCACCACCACCTGTGCAGAACCCAACTTTACAGTGATAGTTAAAGCACAGTTTGGAGGCTACCAAGTGTCTTTGAGAACCACCATCTTTCTCTGGGTTCTTAGTGCTTTTAGCTGGGTAAATGTTTATGGATGTTCAAGAGAACTTATTTTCCCATGGAAATGATGCATTGAAATCAACTGAGCAAGTAATTTCCTGATCCAAGTTCTAACATGGGCTGTGCCTGTTAGATCTGCAGCTGGGCCAAGGCAAACCTTCCAAGTTAATGTAATGAGAAAGGAGTACAAAAAATCTTCAGAGGCTGTGCAAAATGAGCTGTCCCTTCTCTCCTGGATGCTGCTCCTGGGAAGGAGGGGAAGAGGAGAGGAAGGAGAAAGGCAGAGAGAAGAAAAGACTCAGAGGTCTGAGAGCTGTGGCTGAGGGAGGAACTCAACCATAATCATGGATGAAACAAAAAAGAAAGCATGAAGAAAAACACAGGCTGAAAAATGAATAGTGATGGAAAGGTCTGGGGTGAGAGGAGCTCTAAAGAGGAGGCTTGCCCCAGTATCTCGTGTGACTTACACAATCTGTTTAACAGCGATCGGTCATGTTCTCTCCCTGACACTAGCCACAGCAGCAGCTCTGTGCTGACAGGCAGCAGGGATAAATGATTACTGACATATGCTAATCGGACAGTCTTAGACAATACGTAACAGGAATACATCAAGGTGGTGCAAAACACATTTCTTGGTCAAAACTCTCCAACTTGTACAAGTAAATTAGCTTCAGAAAGTCACAAGGCTTCTTCATTTTTTTAAAACTGCAGTTAAAAATCAACAACATGGCAAAAAAATCCCAACCCAAACCCAAACCCATCAGAACAAGGGCCAAGGTGGAGGGCTGAGAGGCTCTTTGCAGTGGTATCTGTCAATGCCAGATAAGATTTTGGCCATGTAAACTCCCTGCAGGGTTTCAGTGCTTTCAGATTTTTAGGTGTCTTCTTTCCATTCCCTTTGCCCAGCTCTTTTCCCTTCCTTCCTAAAATGCCCCCTAGCTTTTCACTTGAAGTTTCCCTGTAATTTATACCACAAACAAAGCTAACAGAATTCAAACAAGTACCCCAGAGCACTGCAGGATGTGCAGATGAATTCAGGGAGACGTTTAGATCCCATTGCTAGAACAAGAAAATCTTCACCTAGGCTCTTATTTGGATCAATTAAAAGAAGTGTCATGCACATCTGTAACCTGCCTAGACCCTTTGCTCAGTCTCAGGGTGAATATTGTCAATCAGGTAGTTTAGAGGGGTATCAAGAGTGCAGGCTTTCTGGAAAGCTCTAATTCTTAGGGTGGAAATGCTTCTTGAAACATCTGGTGTGGTTTGAATTAGTTATGGTGAGAGCTGATAAAATGGTAGGCTACCAAAATGCAGGTCTGACTGTCCTACTTGTGTAGAGCAGTTGCAGGAGTACCAGTAAAGAACAAAGGCCACCCCAGTACTAACAGGGGAGATATAAAAAGATGCTTCTCATCTGGTGAAGCTCATGAAAGTGCACACAAGTTAGAAAATAAGTCATTAAGCTGTTATGTGGGCAACTGCTGCTTCTCTTCCAGGGTTTATGGCTGCAAAAAATATCCCACCTTGAAGTCCAAAAGGGGCTGATGTTTGAACACATTGAGTGCAGGACAATTTTAGGGTTTGGGTCTCTGGAAGCTCTGAGTTAAGAACCTCATGTCTACCTTCATTGTGTGCTAAGGGTGTTACCAGGGCATGTGAGCAAGGTCAGAAGGTGTCCCTGAGTTCCATCAAGTCCTCCATACCTTCTCCAAGCGGGGCAGGTGCCAGAAGGACTCCTCCTTTGCAGGTCGTGGCTGCTTTCGCAGAAGTGTGGTGCGAGTTTCACTCACTTGGTCTTTCTGTAACCAAAGGTAAACAAGAATGGGCTGAAGCAGCTGTGCAGCTATAGACATCAGGTTGGTGTCATGCAATGTAATGATACTGGGATGAGCTAGACTAAAAGTCACTTTGGACTGATGATCACAAGGGCCTGATCTGGGTAGTTTTTCATGTCCATGCAGCTAATACTGATATCTAAAACATGCTGATGAGAAAAACAAGAGCAGCTGTCAGCTCTTAGAGTGTCTGCTTCATATGGCAATCCAGTGAGATGACTGCTGCCTGCAGGAAGCCCTGTGCTCTGAGCTAGAGCAATGGCTCATCACCAGTTGGGAAAGTCACTTCCACCATCCCTATCATGGCGGGGAGGAGAAGGGGGTGGTTTTCTTGCTGTCTGTTGTGTGTTGCTCTCCTGATTAATTACAGTCCCAGCACAAGCCAGTTCAGGTACCCGGTGAATGGTTTGGCCACAGTGTGAAACCCTGGGGAATCTGTCTGCTCTGTGGTCTAGGATGTAGGTTTGTGTTGCTTAACTGGTAACTGGTGGCTGCAGGCTTTGGGAACTTGATGGAAGGAACTTAGTGATTAAAAACATCAGTCATTAATAGATAAGGTAGGGATGCACTTTCCAACATCCTAGACTTGTGTATTCATAAAGTAGCTGCTAATTAAGAACACTTTATTCTTACACTTCCACTATAAAGCATAGTTTGTGATGGCAGTAAGCCCATTGAAACTGGTCATTACCATATTAGCTTGACTTTTCTTTGAGCCATTAACTAATAAAACAGTCACAGAATCATAGAACCTTGTGAGTTGGAAGGGATTGCTTTTAAATTTCATTACAATATTGGTGTGTTTAACAGCACAGCATTGCAATTCTAACAACTGCTGCAGGTGCTGACATCAGCCACACCATGCCAGGATCTGTCCCTTTGAACATTTGTCAGCTGCTCTGTTGTTTTGTCCACTGTCACAGGTAACCTGAGCAGAGCTGATGCTGTCCAAAGGACAGTCTGCAGGGCTCCTGGCATAAGGATGACACAAATACCACGGATCATCTGAAACTTAATTCTTTGTTACAGGAGGGTTTTTTACTATTGTGGTGATGCAAAAAGAACCAGAGCTTCTGTTTTAATTGATACCAGGACTTTAGCTGGGCCACCTGTGATAGAGGCATATTGATGCAGACAGATGCTTGGTGGCAGCTAGAAAGGTCTAGAGATGGTCTGTGGGATGGGTATCTAAGACTTGGAGAGGCCTTGGCCAAAGCACTGCTGCCCTGGAGAGTGTGCTCAGCTCTTGTGTATATCTTCAGATACAAAAATACTCAAAAAAACCCCCCAAAAACAACAAAAAAACAAACCCCAAACCAAAAAACCACCTTCCCTTTTGTCTCCAGAGCACTTTCATACACATTGTGATTTGAGTATCTGGTGCTCATTCCCACAGCATCACCCCACATGACATACTCTGGCGGAAGCCAGACCCATCTTGGTTGGGAAGCAGCTCATCTTTGTTAGGCTTCACCAGCCTTCTAGTAGGCAAGGAGGATGTTTTCCCAGCTGACAGCCCTCCCTGTGGCTGGGAGAAGTCCATCCATTGTGGGGTGGGGCAGTGGGGGGGTTATGCTTGGGAGCAGTGCTGTGCAGAGCAAGGGTGAGCACTGCTGGAGTGTTATCACCTTTTTCTTTTCCATTCGCTCGGCTGCTGTCCGGGCTCTCTGCTGCTCCATCCACAGCTCCTTGTATTTGTGTTGGAGGAGGTCAAAAAAGGGAGTGGAAGGCCTGGAAAACATTGAAAAGACAATATAATCTGTAAGGTTAATACATCTCTTTTCCTCCCCATGCTGATTCAGATCTCTGCTCCTGGAAAGTATGACTGGTGGGAACATGAACAAACACCTCATGGGAAAGGCTGTCTCTTCTGTGAGAGACTCAAAGCCACATCCATTTGCAATGAATACACCAGTGCCTGCACACACTTGTGACAACCCGTCACAGGACTCTGCTAGAGCATTCCCCAGAATGGGCACAATTTCTATCTTTGCACAACCTTTTCTAGGGCCCAGAACACCACACCCTAGGGCCCAGGGTGAAGGGAGTGAGTGCTGTCCTAAGCAATCTGAATAGGGATAAAAGTGGATGCAATGGAGATGATCAGGTGTGTCTGCAGCAGAAAGGGGAGCTGAAATGCTGAGCCCTGGTCTAGTACCTCAGCTGCACAGACCAGATGTATTTGTACCTTGAAACAAGGTACCAGGGAGCATCCTGGCCAGGAGGGCACATCAGCACAGAGGAGCTGCAGATGACTGGTTCTAGAAAAATAATAAAAATAAAAGGCTGTTGCTTGTTGGCCAGGGTCCTGTTCAGCTGCTCTGAGCTGGCATTAGCCTGGCCAGCTTGTGGCCGATCTGCAGTCTGAAATTGTTGAGCCTTGCTCCTTGCAAGTGAGGATACTTCATCAGCAGCCATGGGAGGCAGAACGGGCAGTGGCAGCGGCAAGGTTCTTGCCTTGAGGACAGCATACCACTTCTGGGTTGTGCTGCTATTCTTTTCCCCAGAAACAAACACTTGAAGGTGATGGAGGACATAGTTCTTAAGTTTTATTGGTCCTTGCCCTTGCATACCTTGCTGGAGAGGGACTCTTCCTGTCTCAGTAGTAACCTAGAATGTGGAGCCATCAGCCCCAGCTCTGCTCCCACCTGTAGCCTGCAGTGCCTTCAGCTGCAGCTCCCATAACAGAGAGGCAGTGCTTTCCCTGCCTGTCTGGACCAACTGCAAGATGCTGGGGACTTGGTCTAACTGCTGGGCTACTTCTGGGTCACCAGAAGGCCATTTTCTGCAGAGAGAGCCTGTGTGCCACAGAGTAAGCTAGTGCTTTGTGGCTTTTGTCAGGAGTGGGTCCAGAATTGGTAGCAACCAGCTTTTAGCAGTCTGGAGAATCTTTGATGATCATGGAGGGTACCAGCAGTGCATATGCAAATAGTAACTCTTCTGTTTCTTGTTCCTTCACCCCTGTGGTGACTTTTATTACTTAATTATTGCACACCACATGCTTCAAAACAGCCTAATCTATGGTCGTGTTTTCTAATGATACTAGATGTGCAATCCAGCAATATACATCCCAAGGGGGCATTCATATCAGAGGAGCCATCTTTCTGTAGACCTCCTGTTTCATAGATCACATGCTGCAGGGCTTTTCAAGGCTTTGCTTACAAATCAGCTGTGCTGCTCCAGACTGTTATCTGGAGACACTGGGTGCCAAAGGTGACACCAACATTTACCCTTTGTCTTCCCCTCTTCTATCTGTCCCTTCCCTTCCAGTTTGGTGTGTCACACTGATTGGAGCTGGGCAAAAAATTTACAAAGGATAAAAGATGTGGCAAACCTGTCGTTGAGTTTCTTATTGTCTGTGTGGGTCAACAGTTTCATTGTGTGGTGTAAATTTTGGTAGTCCTGGCACGAGCATATGGTGAGCCTTGCCTTGTTTCCTCGGCCTGTCCCTTTGCTCTCCAAGGCAGAAGCTTTCCTGGTGTGTTGGAATAGCAGGGAGGGATGCAGGAAAATGTTGATTCTTTGTGTGTAGTGTTTGACTATTGATTTTTGTGGTAGCTGAATGCGTTTTCTCATCTCTATGGAGGTGACTTTTACCATCTCCAGTGGACCAGCCAGTTGGTGACTGATTAGTCCACAGCTGGCTTGTAAGTAAATGCTTGAAAGGACACATTTGGGTTGATGCTCTTCAGAGATCCTTCCCTGCCGTGTGATTAATCGCATTTAAGTCCTGATCCAGCAAAGTATAGAATCATGCCTGGAATAATACACGCATGAACTGCCTCTTTGAAATTGGTGGGAATGACTCGTGTGCTTAGTTATACATGGAAGTTCTGGTGGGGCTGTAGGACATGAGGCTTCATCTGGCTTTTCCTGCCTCCTTTGAGAGAAATACTGAGAAAGAGGGGAAGAGCAGGGGATGTCAGGTAACACTTCTTTGACTAAGGTTATGGGAGAAATTTCAGTGAGGTGGTTTTTTCTTTGTAGGTCAAATTCTGATCTCATTGGAGTGGATGGGGAAATTTGTCCCCAGTATCAGTGCCACCTGGCAGTGTGACAGTATTTCTCATTTGTAGCTGGCCTTTGGGAAAACATCCTCTTGTCCTAGTGTTACTTAAGGACAGGAACGAACGGCTTGTGTGTTCTGTTTGCTTTTGTCACTCTGCCCAGATGTCACTCCTCTGAACTGGGAGGATTTTGCTGTTATAATCTGCAGATGCTGTGGGGGGGGAGTGTCTGCTAAAAATGCTTATTGCAAATTAAAATCCGTCTTGTTCAGAGTAACTCAGATCTCCTTGTTTTGGCACAAGCACCCTGCCACAGAAAGGAAAGGGAAAGAAGTTCTGATAGGATGTAACAAATTATTTATAATTGTGGAAAAAAAAATCATCTAGTTCCTTTTATAGTCAAATAGTTGGAGCCATTTCTAATGTTGACATTTCCTAAGTATTTTAAAATTTATCTGTGCACACTTTCAAAACTGTTACCCCTGAAACAGTTCCTGTCTCTTTAATAGACTCTCTTTCTAATTTACTTTCAAGAGTCGGGTACAGACCTATTTTCAACTGAAATGACAAGTGCCTGCTTACTTGGTTATACAGTGTGGTATGCTAGTCTGCCAGAAATCTCTTGGAAAAGAAGCTGCAGCCTCCTAATAGGCTATTTTACTGTAAAAACAATGTTAAAAAGTGTAATAAAGTATTAACAATATTAAAATAAAACAGTGTAGGCCTTAAATGAGCTACAAACTAGTTAAATCTATTCTATTCACTATGAGCCCTCAGTGCTTTGCAGCTGATACCTCAGAGCTGGGATTTATCTAAAATGAAGGCACCAGGGACATGCAAGAGAAATGGTAATTATAATTTGCAAACATTAGGCTGACACTTTTTTGTGTATGCGTGTATAAATTGACAGCTGTGATTTGTGCCATGCCAAATAGTGCTCCAGCGAGCTGGGAAGGGCTCCCTTTCTGGCAGGCCATCCTCAGAGCAGCAGCTCATTAAAACTTTGGAGAAGGAGAAGTTGCTGAAAACAGGAAGGCGTCAGAACCATCTGAGGGACTTTTGGTACATGCTTGTTGAAAGGTGTTTGAGAAGTGAGCCTTGGGTCTGACAAACTGGAATTTTAGTACGCCTCTCCGTTCACAGCGGGGCAAAATAATTGGTCATCAGTGACTACTAATTTGGTTTAGTAGCCAGAGGCAGTTTTTTTCTTCCCAGAAAATCAATGACAGTGCCGGGGTCTGTTCAACGTGATTCAGCTCAAGACGGGTCCTCATTTAGCTCTTGATGCTTCTTCCACTGGAGACAGCTATTTTGTTAAAATGAAATTAAAATCTATCTATAATGCTCAGTTCAGGGAGCATCATCCATCAATGCCACGCTGCTCTTGAGGTTTCAAGGTTGTCAGTCTCCCCTCAAATTTATTTTCAAAGGTTTATATATCAACTGAAAAAAGGTACTTGGCAAAGGTGGATGCAAAGGACTTTGCTCAGGAAGGGGGTTTATACCAGTTTAAAAGGTGCAATCAATTTGATTGCTAAGTTGTGTTGTAAAAGCGTAAAAACTTGACTTGTGATTGCCTTATTCTTGTATAATTCAAAAGCACAGGGGCTTGTAAATATTTTAGAGCAAACTCCAGCCCTTAGATTTTCCGGGTAGCTCTCCAGCCAGTGCAGACAGCTCCTGTAGCATTCTTCCTGCTGCTGGTCAGGACGGGCTCTGGCAGGGAGCAGAGCGAGGGAGCAGGGGACATTTGCACCAGCATCGACTCCCTAATGGCTGCACAGATATATCACAGATGTATCACAGATGTTCGGGCTATGCCAAAAACACTGCTCTAATTTCAATGGCAGCTTAGTGGCAGCAGGATCTGGCCCTGTGTGGGTGCTTATGCAACAGATGAAGCCTATAATCGAATTTTTTTTACTGTTGTGATACTAAAACTGTGTTGGAACACCATTGCCTATCCTGAAATTTTAATCCTTTCTTGAAAGTTAATGATGCTTCAGGGGGTTTCATGGGCCTTTGTCTTTGGTGGTGTCCCTCCATCTAAGATGATCTGCTTTTGCTACACAGCCTGGATCTGTCTTTGGGGCCTTCAGTCCGCAGGGGAGATAGCCACAGGGGGCACCAACTTTATATTCCTTTCTTGTGTACTTCATGATGGGAAGGATTTGTCCTCTGGTTGTAGTGTCTGTATAGAGACCTTCCTCTGGCTTGTGGCCAGGTCAGCCAAACCAGCTCCCACTAGCTCAGGTTGGTTTCTTATCTGGAACCAGTTTGGTCTCCATCTCTGGGGTGTGAAGCTTCTCGGTGCAGCTAGCACAGATTATTTTCAGCAAATAAAGCACAAGCTGGGGTCTGTGATTCTGCTCAGGGCCTTGGGGCACTGCCAATGCAGGCAGCAGTAAGGCATTAATGCTCAGGTCCCTCTGCCCTGAAAGGGGGCTGATAACACAGGAAAACTCTGATTACAGCTCCCTTGTACTGCAATATTGCCTCCCTTCCTCCCTCGTTACTGATGGGCTGGAGCTGGCAATCTATCTACCATTAATTTGTCTCTGTGTAGCCCAGCAGGAAAAAAAAAATCTGGGGCACGATTACAGCTCTGGCCCTTATGTGAGAGCCGGCATGGCCCCGGCATCCCCCTGCAAACTGCCTGGCTCTTCCTTGCCTTAATTGTTCCCCTTTGGCCAGTGGACCTGTCTCTTCTAACAAGGGCAGCAA